AAGTACAACAGACATTGCGACAAGTTCAGTCATTCGCCATGCACACATACAAACAGTTCCGCTACACCACTACTCTTATTTCATGTGTGTGTTTATTAGCAAATTTAGTTAATGACAAAATTACTATGCAAAACAGTAAGCAAACCATATCCTTTGTTATACATATATATATTTATATAAAGGGTGTCATTTTGGTATTCAAAAAAAATTAATTTTTTTCAGACAAATTATAAAAAGTTTATTTCAGTGCAAAGCACAGTATCAATTTTATGAAATTTTCCAGCACAAAATCGCAATGTGGCTGCTGTATGCTCTCAATAGCTTCCGCGAACTCCATCCTCGAGACCTTAAATCGTTGTTGAATAATTAGCGTGGGCCTTATTTTTCACGTGGCCGCAAAGAAGGCAGTCGCAAGGTGTTAAATCACAACATCTCGTTGACCAATTGCCACCATTTCTTCGAGAGATAACACTGTCCGAAAACTTTTCCCTTAAAAAATCGAAGGTGTCTTCGGTTGTGTGCACGTGGCGCTGTCTTGTTGAAAGTAAACGTTGTCCAGATCAATCCACTAATTGGCCATAAAAAAACTATTAATCATCTCCTGATAGACACAATTCATACACCGTAACTGTTGCGTTAGCCTCACTTTCGAAGAAGTAAGATCGAATGACACCGCCGAGTCATAAACCGCACCATATAGTTGTAAGTTGAGCATGGAGAGGCTTTTCAGTCGAAGCAGAAATGAGCTTCATTGGTCAATACGCAAGATCAGCAAAGACACAGCGTTGTTGATGATCGCCCAGCTTAAGTTCGTTTTTGAAGGTTGCATGTACGTGGGTGGGTTTCCCGCAACACTTTGGGCTACAGCAATAATATTCTTAGTACAATAACTTGTCCCAAAAGCTCCATTTTTTCACCAATTCATGTATTGGGGTCCAGCTTCAAAAGTGACATCAAGCGGAATAGCAGGCTATTGAAAATAACACCTCTTAATGGAAAACCCTTTAAAAGTAAGAAAAATTGCATACGATAGTAAGCTTGCACATTCTCCTAAATATTTCCACTGCTCACTGATGCAAAAGCTTGTAAATGTATACCATTTCCGACATTAATACTCAATTTCTCCCCCACTTCTCTCCCAGTTCTCTAAATTTCCGAATAGTTAAGCAGCATAAGCACTTGTACATATAAATATATAACAGGTTTATCTGTATATATATATATATGTGCGCTGTGTTCATCAGCTGAAGCTCATTTGTACTTGGCATAGCATGTTGTTGACAGTTTTCTACTTGTCAGTTGTATCATTTGCTATATTTTAACATTTTTCACCTTCCTTTCGATACTCCCTGCACTTTCCGTTGCACCGTCAGCTCCTTTGTTGCTCTCTTCATTTGCTCACATAATTTCTTCATATACCCAATGTTGTTTGACAACTTCATTAGCATCGACAGGGAAAACGTGTTGCTTGCATTTTTGACTTTCCTCTTGGCACGTGACTAGAAGGAATTAGCAATTGCGAATGTGGGACGAGTAGATGGGAGAACCTGTGAATATTTGTCAGTTTTGAATTTTCACATATTATTTATTTAAAAACTACATAAATACAGCGTTTGGAAAATAGATATTGAGAGGGCTATCATAGTTTCTAGCAAGGGAGGGGTTTTCCATGAGACGAGAATATGTTTTACATTTGGTGGTAATAATACTCATATCAGAAGAAGGTCATATTAATAACAACGATGTAACTATTTTCGAGATGGACCATTTTCTAGTTGCATTCCCCCAAATTGTGATCATTAAAACATTTACGGGGATCGTCACTAAAAGCGGATCTCTCATCCGAAACTTGATGGATTTTTCATTGGTCTAAGGAGGAACTCGATGAACTCTCAGGTGAGTGGCAGTCAAAAACGTTCCTCATTTCCGTAAATTTGCAAAAGCTTCATGACCCCATCCTTCTCTTAACATAGTCTTAACGGTGTCGTATGTCAAAAGAATAAAAAATTAAGTTCATGGTCAGAAACAAAATAAATTTGTGCAAATTTCAACACTTAAGGCGTAGACGAAGACTTGAGACATCATCAAAAAACAAAGAAAAGATTTTATCACTAAGAAGAATTGTTATGTTAATCACACAGCATTACATTGTCACAGTCAGAATCATCGCAGTCAACTTCTCAATTAAGGGACCTGTACAAGAAGATCAATTAGGGATAGGAAAATTTGTAATTTTTTGATTAGGTAACAGCAAAACTTGTGCCAGAAACTAACAAATGTTAGACATTTACATGAAATTTTTATCTAAATGTAATTAAGTATTCAGAGGTCCATTCTTTAATTATCTGCCTAGTCCAAGGTAGCAGCTTGAAAGTGTTGGTGGTGTTTATGCTAGAGATCGGCATATATGTATATTTATATGAGCTAAGTTCGTGTTTGTTTAACTGTACTTAGCGGGATAAGCAGTGAATTCCAAATAGCCATCGAGAAATCGGGATCAACTTTAACTTCGCCAAATTATATCGGGAGAGTTCTCCAAGTGCAATTCGGTGGGATTGAGAAATTTGTATAGAAATGTCTTTGTTGGCGTTGACATATTGCATGCACTAACCGAACCACAACAGAATAAATCATGGTTCGAAATGGAAGATTTGTATGGTGTCGTGGGATCACCAATGAAAGCAAGCTCGGGTTCCACAAATTCGAAATCGGCAACCCTAAACTCCCCCGAGAAACAAGTTTTGGGTACATCCAAACAATTTTCAAAAAAGCTTCTACCACATTGGATCCGCCATTTTAAATGTTTGAAAATTGTTATCGAATTTCAAGTCAGCAACACCAAAACTCTCATGAATACTCAAAAGTCGTCTTATTTAGTTCTCTTCACTCCTCCCTTTACTTGAAGTGCTGGAATTGTTTTGAATTATTGAATATTTGATGAAGATTTGAATGAAAAATAGTATAATTTAAGGCGTTGGCAGTGTCGTGAAGTAGACAGCCCACAAGAAATTGATTTCGCGGTAGTTATTATTTTTCAATTTTCATCTGAAATCAAAAATCCAAATTTTTTCTAAAAGTAGAAGAGTTTTCTTTGTCCCTGAATTAAAAATAATTTTAAAAAATTTGAATAGAATTTTTGAAGCGTTTTTTACCAAAAACTTCACTTAAACATGCTTAAAAGAAATGTGGAAAATTTGAACTCGATCGCTTCAATAGTCGTTGAGAAATTTTGACTAAGCAAAACACGTTGAGAGTTTCGCCATCGGTTAAGCCATGACAAAGACGCGGGTTATAAAACTCTCTTATTTCTACAATTTTGTCTCGATCGACTTGAAACTTGGAGAAAATTTTTCTGACACTTTGTACTTTTATACAAAATATAATCAAAAAAATGAATTTTTTGAAGTGAGACCTATGTAACCTCTTAATGGTAGACAACTCTAAAATTTTTCGTTCAATATTCCAAGTGCAGAGGCATTCATACACATTTAGTGCTCTGTTTATTCGAATAGAATATATATATATATGAGTATAAATAGTCATAGAATATTTCTAAAACTTATTAAAATCTACCAACAGGTGGGTGTGTTTTTTTAAATTTTGTTCTGGGACTTTTCTAAGGTGCTGTGGATGACCAACCTGGTCTGAAGCTATACTGACTTTGCCGTTGGAATTCAATCTTTCACACAACTCACTAGATATCGAAGAGTGTTATTACGCAATAATTTTCGCCAACTGTGTAGTCTCTCCTCCTATGTATAAGCTCAACAGACTCTATTTTCTATTATCGGAAATGCTTTCATGCGAACATATTCTGTAAAGAACCTAATGTATGCATGTCAGATGTAAAACTACATCATAAAGGAAATAAGATTTATATCCTTCCCTAACAAAGTCAATTAATGTGAACTCCCAGTCACTCAGGCCAATCGCTAAGTAAATGTAGCACGCTCCTACCATCACTTCTCCAAGCTTTAGAAAAGGCGTTGTCTACCGACTAATCAAACCCAAAAAAAGTACAGTATTAAACACAGACGCGTCAAGCCAGATTTTCAATTTAATTAGACAGTGCATCAGATTTCGCATCGGTCATGTATCATAACCAATTCACAGCTATTAAGCGGCAGTCGCCAAAATCAAAGTCTCTTCGGTTCTTTAACCGTCAACATACATCATTACTTATCTACTCTCCTGATCTGGAAAACTCAAGAACGAACCACTTCGACAACGAAGATCCGGTTCAATTACTGAATATACCATCAGGTGAAGACATCTCTAAAATTTATATTTTTCCAAAGGAATCCGATCTTCTTCCCCATTTTTAAATAAACCAATAAGACGAAAGCCTATGTTGCTTGTTTGTATAATAAGATTGTGTTATGCAAACTATATTAAATAAAATATTTATATAATATAATATTTTCTAATCAACATTTATCGGCTTATTTACTACTAAAGCATTTTTGAAAATAAAAGTCATTTGCTCATAAATGTAGTAAAAACTTGATATATTTTATTGTACAAATATAAACATAAATATTATCAGAGTAATAATCACGATAGTGTGTATGAAAACTTAACAATTTAATATCAATTTTATATTCTCTTTATTATGTTTTTCAATTGCACCTCATATTCACTCGCATTCTATGGCAATACAAATTTACGTGCCTAAAGTTATGCTACACAGACACGTACTTGAGAAATGAACGTGATGAAAAATCTTTACGACAACGCTTGTCTTCCAATATAACAGTAAATATGCAGCGAAGGCAATTTTTAAAATCGTTAAATTACATGCACATGTATGTATGTTTTTCAATTTCGAAATACTTAAATATAAATCAGTTAGATCTAAAACATAAAAATAAAACATTCATATATACATAAATACATAAATATTTGCAGGTGTATATCTAAATAGAAAATTATGTACAACACAAAAAATTAAAAATATGACCAATGTTTCGTGGTGAAATTCGTAATTACTAAATTTCTTGTTTTTGTTTTTTAATTTCTCCCTTCTTTGCTTCAATTAATTTAACTCGAAAAAGATAAGCAAACAAAAGTGATTTGTGTCTATGTTAAATTATATAAAAGTTATTAAAGAACAAATGAATGCAAGAAATGGCAAGCAAGGCCAACAACAAAATGTTATTACATACATAAATATATTATTGAAAATTCAAAAAGGCAACGACCCACAACTATTATCGTCCATCAGCAACTGCATTACACACGGCGACGACGCTTTGACAACTCCTCTTTACGGATCTGTTGTTGCTTGTAGACGAACAACGGCCGGAAGACAATGGCACGACGTGGACGCTCATCTAATGGTGCTGCACCAGATGCAGCAACGGCGGCAACGGGTGATAGCGACACGTCTAGGGGCACGGTTAGCGGTGCATCAGCAACGGCACGTCGAGACCTCACGTATGGACGAAAGAGATCCGCTTTGGCAGCATCACGTCGATAGAGTGTGCTCAGGAAATCAAAGTATTGTGGTGAACGTAGACTTTCTGGTCGTCGAAGTGGTGAATTGTATTGGAAAAAGTTTGGCGTTTCTACGTCCAGGTAATTGTTGACGCCTTCCTGGGCATGAACGTAAAAATTAAAGCTGGCCAGTGGCGCCAATAAGCATAAGGCGATTGTGAGGAGCTGCAAAGAGAGAGAGAGAGAGAGAGAGAGATAGTTTAACTTTTGGCGGAAACTTAATGAAAGGTAATTTTAAATATCTTATGGAATATCTACTGACGCAAATGTTAAAGAAAATATAAAATTAAATAAAACTAAAAAACAACCAATAAAAACAAACAGAAGAAAATAAAAAAACATAATCTAAAAAAAATTAAATAAAATAGAATTGAAGTTTAGTTGCTTAAACTAAATTAAAATATGACCAAATGAAATTTAATAAAATTAATTAGAAGAAATTGAAATAAAAAAATAAATTAAACAAAATATATTTAAAATTTATTTAAAATAAAATTAAAAAACTGATAAAAAGAAAATAAAAAGAAATAAAAAAATTAAGTAAAATTAAATTGAAACTCATTAGTTTAAACTAAATCAAAATTAAATCAAAAGTAAAAATATTACATTAAATACGATAAATAAAATAAGCTTAATTAATATAGAATAAAATTAAATGAAATAAATTAAAACAAAATACAATAAAATAAAGGAAAACAAAATGAAATAAAAGCAAATAAAATCAGATAAAATAAAACAGAGGAAAAAAAAGGAAGCCAATTAAATAAAAGGAGATATAACTATGTATACTTAAACTAAATAAAAAAAGTTTAGAAAATAAAAAGAGCGAAAAAAATGAAAAAAAAAATAATACGATATAAATAAAACAAATTAAAATAAAAACAACATAAACTAGAATAAAAGTAAATTAACTTGAAATAAATTAAATAAAATTGAAAAGAAAATAAAAAAATAAACTAAAAAAATTAAATAACATAATAAAATATAATATCAAAAAATAGACTAAAAATATCAATAAAAATAAAATCAAATCATATAAAACAAAATAAAATAAGACTGAGTAAATAATAAAAAAATAATATTAGATAATATTGAGAATTTAAAATAAAATAAATCAAAATAACATAATATTACAAAAATTAAAAATAAACTAAATACGACAGTTTAACAAAATAACAGATTGCAATATAGGGGTAAGGAAATAAAATTAAAAAAAGAAATAAATTAAGGAAAAATGTAAAATTAAAAAAACACAGTACAAAAGCAAACTGAAAATAAAATGATTTAAAATATTTTGAACTAAAATTAAATTAAATTAATTAATCAACAAAATGAAATAAAATATGAGAAAATAAAATATAGTGAATAAAATAAACATAAGAAAGTCAAAAATAAAAATTATTATAGAATAAAAAAAATTAATATGCAAATAAAATATAATTATCATACAAACAAAAATAAATGACAGAAAAATAAATCAAAAAGAAATAAACACAAATAATGCAAAATGAATTTAAGGCCAATAAATAAAATTAAATAGATTAAAGGGAAAAATGGAACTTCCTAAAATTTAAATAAAATTCGATAAGGAAAACAAAGAAAAATGGGTATTAATGGGAAAGTAATGTGAATTTTTTTAAATATTATAATAATATAATATATATTAATTCCTGTACTTAGCAATACTTAAAAAATAGCTTAAATCTGGCAAGAGGTTTCTTCGGCAAAGGGTAAATTAGACAGATGATAGGAGTCCCATGTATTCATACTACAAAATAATAAGAATATTTTTTATAATAATAAGCAACGGCAAATTACTTTGGAAATATTATGAATTTTCTGAATTTAGTTTTATGGCATTGCAACGGTATATGCGAGGAATTCAAAGGCTAAAAAACAAAATTGGGCCATAAAATGATACCAATAAAGCTCGAAAGCAGCTGTTTTTTTTTTAATAAAAGCGGGAATTTATGCATTGCAAAAATCAGCATTTTATTTGCATATATTTTCTGTTTTCGGGTAAGTTGTTGTATTTCTATTTTCTTTATTTTTACGGAATTTTGACTATGAATAATAATCTGGTTTCTACAACTATTTAATTGATTTTTTAATGATGTTTGACTTTTTTGCATAACAATTTTTTTTTATTGTACGTGTATATGTGTGTGTTATATACGTGTATATGTGTGTGTGTTGACTGTAGCAACTTCTTTGTTTTTATCGCCTATTAAAAACTATTTATTTTCTTTTTATGTATTATCAAATATAAACCACTCTTTTGTTGCTGTGTCGACTTACGAATATACATACACATGTACACATGTATAACCGTATACTTAAACGGGTATATCCACGAAATTTATGAAGGCATTCGCCATGACGTATGCGGATTTGGCAAAAATGTATTAAGTAATACTTAAAAAAAAAATAAATATAAATACCAAAACACGCTATTGGTATAACCTTAGAAAATGGCAGAATTCACTGACGCTGTTGTCAGACAAATTATTCGGCATAAATAAATTATTTTAATTTTAAAAATTAGCATAATGTTGAAAGAATATGAATACGTGTGTATGTATGTACCTTAATGCTAGCGATATATCTTGAAGATTTTCAGTCAAACTGATTAATTGCTGTATTTGTTGTAGTATAAATCATATAGTGATTTAGTAAGGAATGTGTAAATGATCAGAAAAATAAAAATATTAGATATTTTCTGTTTTGTTGTCACAATATAGACAAGTAACCAACCTAATAACAAATCAAATTTCAAAACTTTCAACATTTAGATTAATGATCCAACCAATCTATTAATTATCAGACCCAGAATTATATTATTTAAATATTTCACAAATCAACGCATATAATGAAGAGCATTAATTTAAGATAATATTAAAGAAATCAGTAAAAAAGAATAGCAACTTAAAAAATCACTATTTTTGAAAAAAAAGGAAAAAAGATGAAATTGATCATTACTTCAGGCTGATTAGTTCTTTTGAAAAGGATATAATATTTAAAATAATTTTTTTTATTTTATTTCCTCTCCTTTATAGTAGTTTTTGGAAGAAAATCTTTTATTAAAATAATTTTTTTTGGCAGAATCTAAAATTTTTATTAAATGATTTCATCGCTTCACCTAATAAAAAATTACTATTAAAAGAATTTATGGTGTGCAAAGACAATTAGACAATATAAATTATATTGCGCTTAAAAATTAGGGTTGGGTTCCATTTATTATTCTCACGCTGCACATGCAATATTGTATGTATGTATTTATTTATTTGTACTTTTGGGTTGGTATGCTAAATCACTCATACGCCACCGGCTCCGCTATGACTACTTAATAATACACATTTCACATAAGTATGATTAAGTAGCTGCACAACATTTTGCAGCGAAATGTGCAAAGAAACATATATTCTTACAAGCTTAAAAGATCTACCAACTAAACATTAGTGCAATAAAAGCCGGATGAAGACAGCTCTTCGCGCTTAACAGTCACGAAAAATTTTATAATATTTATAATTAAAATTAGTTAGCTTTTCAAACACTTCACACTGTGGTTGTTGTTGTTGTTGCTACTTACCTACGTAATTAAATGCTAATTTAAGCACTTTTAATTTCAGTTTAGTGTTTACTAATTATTAGTTCGTCAATCTTGTAATTGATCAATATGAACATAAAATCCCATGTAACACCGGCAGACCATAAGCATCAGCTAATGTTGTGCATGTTTATTCTGTATGTATGTATGTATGTAGGTATGTACTTATGTTTGTATGTATGTACTTTGCCTGCAACTTATTGACTGTATAATTAATTATTAGCAGTTTTGTTCGCGCTTAGGGATAAAAATATGTACGTGTATGCTCTGTACTCTTATAAACATACATCCTACATTTATGTAAGTCTAACGTACTTAAATTTCCACTTTTTTTATCGCTTCCCTAAAGTATTAAGCGGATAAAGATAAAGACGCGATGATAAAATAATTCGCTTCGTTTCCTATTACTGCTTTTTTCAATTTATGCGATTTTATTTTCATTTAAATTAATTTACAATAATTCAAAATATTTAGAAAGGCGTCGCTTAATTAAAATTAAAAAAAAAAAATTATTCTTTTTGTGGTAAACAATTACTATACTTTCTACGTGTTATCTCCGAAGCATATGGAGTAATCAAAGATCATTGTACTTGTTTTATAGATATGTAATTACTAATATTACAATATATAGACACTTTAGTTTAGCTTTATTCGAAATTCACTTTCTATATTATTCTTTTTATCTCTAATTAAAAAAAAGTACAAAAAAGAGTACACATTTATTCGGCCCATTGCTGTGTTCAAAAATTATTTTAATTAAAAAAAATAAAAATAAATTTGACACTCAAAAATAGTCAATCAACAGTGACCACTTCTCCCATCTCTCTGGACGAATTTCGAATACTATCTTACAAAAATAAATAATCTCTGTTCCTGCTCAATGAATTAGCTATAATTTGATTTCTTTAAAAGTAAGCTTATTCGGTTTTCCACAACACTACTTTTCTTCAAAGCTAAAATCATATTATTTAAAAAAAAAAGTTCCTCAAAAGTCGTGAAGTTATCAATTTGTTGAAAATTGAAAAAGGCGATCAGTGGAAAATAACTTTCTTTTATAAAGCTTTAAGCGTAGGCTTATGAGGGGATCACCGCAACATCGGTCAATTGGCGACTTTCAATTTGTTTATGCTAAATCTTAAAATACCAAATCCTTTCAATCAGTATATTAGTCCTTGCTTCAAATCTTAAAACGGCTAAAATGGAGATGAAAAAATACAAAATGACCGAAAATAGGTAAGACAAAATTTCACCACCAACGCAAACAGAAATTCGCCATATGATTCTCTTCGGGTCTCGGCGTAATTTACAGTCAACACAAGTATTCAGTGAATGCCAAACTGCACATGGAACGATGGCACCGAATTCCGTGCAACAAGTTGACCTCATAAAAAGTTTTAAGCAATTTGGCATACCCACATTTAGTATTTTGCTGCATTAAAATAAATGTTCATAAGTGAACAAACCCACTTGAAATTTAAATAACTGATTTGTGAACTCTTTTTTTATGGCCACGAGGACATTTGTTTTTAATTTTTATTTAATTTTTTTTTTTTGTTTA